GACACACAACCAGAGACAGGAGACCACACACCCACCTGTACACACACAGACACACAACCAGAGACAGGGGCCACACACCCACCTGCACACACACAACCAGAGACGGGACCACACACCCACCTGCACTCACACAGACATGCAACCAGAGACAGGGGACCACACACCCACCTGCACACACACAGACATGCAACCAGAGACAGGGGACCACACACCCACCTGTACACACAGAGACACACAACCAGAGACAGGGGCCACACACCCACCTGCACACACACAACCAGAGACAGGGGCCACACACCCACCTGCACACACACAACCAGAGACACAACCAGAGACAGGGGACCACACACCCACCTGCACACACACAGACACACAACCAGAGACAGGGGACCACACACCCACCTGTACACACAGAGACACACAACCAGAGACAGGGGCCACACACCCACCTGCACACACACAACCAGAGACAGTAGACCACACACCCACCTATACACACACAGACACACAACCAGAGACAGGGGCCACACACCCACCTGCACACACACAGACACGCAACCAGAGACAGGGGACCACACACCCACCTGCACACACACAGACACACAACCAGAGACAGGGGCCACACACCCACTCACTGGGCAAATGTATTTTGAGTGCCACTATGTGACCCTGACTCAGGCTACATCAGGCCACAGAGCACACCAAGGCTGGCAGTGGGACTCATGGCTGTCACCTCAGAGGGCACAGAGGTGGCCCTGCGGCCCTGGCTCCTGCTCGGGCTCCTGTGCCTTTCCCCTAGTGGGTCCATCTGCTGGGACCCCTCCAGTGAAGAACAGCACCGCCCACTGCCACGGGCTCACCAACGCAGCCCTCGCCCTCCCCTCGTTCCCACACCCTGTTCCCTACGAGGGCATCTGACGTTGGTTTGGCTCCAGAATGTGTCTGTTGTGAATATTCATGGATTTGAAAGGATGGAGATGTCTGGGCAAATAAAATCAGAGACACCTCCTCAGAGGAGACAAACTTCAGAGCTTCAACACACACCGCTGGACAGAGGCCCAGCGCACAATCTCAAAGGGGCACTGAGACACTCTGGGCTATCCACGATCTCCAGATGTGTCCCAACACACATGAAGAGTGCTACTGTCCGGGGCTGAACAGGGAAGTAGGAAACCACTCGAGGAGGGAAGCGAGCCCCACAGCCAGCTACCCTGCCTTCCACATGGCAACACCATGCTGCCCGGCTTCTGCTGTGTGACTGGGACCACAGCAGAGGGCACAGCTGCGGCCCCCGACCCCCTCAGCCCGCTGCCCCACAACCCTCGCATCTCCTCCAAAGAAAGTCAGATAATCAGGTGAAGAGGGCCAGGCACTAAGCCCCACATCTCAGGTTCCCCCTGCTATACAGCCAAAGGCACACAGGGCTTCCACGGACCCAACAGCAGTGCTGGGGCAGCCACGGTACTCACAGAGCACAGCACCACAAAGACAAACAGGCCCGTGACTTTCAGCCACTGCACACAGCGCCTGCAAGAGAAAAGGTAGGATCTTAGTGGCAAGGGCAGCAGTCCCGTTGCCCAGACTCAGACACCTTTCTGCAGCCTTGAGTAACTTCCATCTCACAGCATGTGTTTTGAATTCTTTCCAAACGTGATATGAGGGAAAACACCCACATATCAGTGACCAGTGAACCTACAGCCCCATCCAAAGGAACATGGTGGAGGTTCCAGAGGAGAACAAAGTTAACCAAAGTGTTTGCACATAGCTTGTTGTTCGGGAAACTAAAGTTCAAGATTTGAGACTCTTTGATAGCTGTTTAAAGCCTCCCGTTTCCTGGAAAAAAGTAAACTGAATGCCTTACCTTGTCTTTCTGATTCATATTTATCAGTTATTTTCCCCTAAGTTTTCTGAAAGGTAGGAATACAGATTGATCATCAAATACAAAAACGAATAACTTAAGAAAGAAATTGTTATGCTGTTACTGGCTGTACCAGCAGAGTCTCTTAAGAATTCCTTAGGCAATAACTTAATTAACCATCAAGCCCACTCGGCTCCTACCAAGGACCTCTAAAGCCATTCCGGCCCCCTCAGCATTACCCATTTCTTAACCATGACCCCCCAGGCCCTACATGAACCAGAGCCTGGCCTGCACTCTGCTGCCCTTCTGTTCCACCAACATCCTTGCTGCACCCAGACAGGACCACAGGGCCTTTGCCCTGCCAGGATGCTCCCTGACTGCAGTCCTCCCGTCATGCCCATCTCTGTTCACTCAGCAGCCAGACCCCATCGCCCAATGGCACCATCACCGCCCAGTCAGGTTGTGCTCTCCCACCAGCTGTTCCGTGAGGGCAGGCACTACAGCGTTTCTGCTTTGTCCCCACACACGGAAGGATGCTGGTACATAGCCCATGCTTGATGTATGTGTGTAGAATGAAGTTAAGAAACTCCATGTTGGAACATCTTTTTAATACTCTCCTCAGTTAAGTTTCATCTGTCTTTGAAAACCTTCTTTCTGATCCTTTGAAAATGGTAAAATCTTGTTTTGCATTCTCTTAGATTTAATGAATTTGATGAATAATCAGTTCACGCTTCCCAATTATGATTCAACAGCTCCTACTTAAATAGGAATCAAAATGACATTTCTTTTTAAAGCATGAAGCATTAATTGAGCTATTCTAAATACAAATTTCTTTCTACATAACTGACATCTGCAGCAGAGCTGACAACCAAAATAAAAGGTTTTTTACAAGATTCTTCACTGATCACGCATGGTACTTTTTAGACATGTTATAAAGAATGGCGCTAACGTCTTTCAGTTCAGTGGCAAGCTCAAAGGCAAATACTCCATGAATCAGAGAAGATAAAACAAGCACTGAATGCAGAAGTCTCAAATGTACTTGATTCTATTTTTCCACGTTGTGGGACAGCTGAGGACAGGCAGCCTCGGGAGTGGGAGTGGTCACCATTCAGCTGGGAAAAGGCTGAACAGTGTCAGGGTTTGCCATCTTGTTGACCCACGGCGCCAGAACTGCACTCGCACAATTTCACCCAACTCCCAGAATCTCATAGCGGATTCACCGGCCAAATGTTTACGGCACTCACGGGGGCGCTGAGACCCCGTCTCATCAGGAAGAAGCTACATGCGGGTGGGAGACACAGTGGGAAGAGACAGCTCCATGTCAAGCAGCGGAGCGAGGGATCTGGGATCGAATCCCTGCCCCTTGGCTTGGCTCAAGGGGCTTGGCTCAGTGTGGCCTTGGGCAAAAGCCTTACCCTCCCTGGGGTACCTCGCGTGAACCTCCCCGGATTGTTGGGAAGATGCATAGGACAGCGGCTCCCCCACGTACCGCGGGGAGTCTGAGGCGGGCCTCTCCGCACCCCGGGAGGTGCACTTGGAGCGGGCAGGCGGGCACACTTCCAACCAACCGCGAGCACCTTCAGAGAAGACGGGTCCCCAGGCACAGACGCTAACATTTGATGACTGAGTAGTGTTTTTTCACTTATCTACGGCTTTCGCACTTACTATCTTAGTGAAGGCCCGCGAGATGCCACAGAGCCAGGAGGGCAAGCGCGACAGGGCACAGTTGCGCGGCCAGGCCAGGCCCTGCCACGGGCGCTCAGCGACTTCAGGGCGGATCCAGAACGGAAGCCCACAGGTCCTGGCTCCCAAACCTCGTTCTGTCCCGGAAATGCTGCTTTCAAACATGTCCCTCTCAAAAGAACCCTTTCAAATGAACTGGCGCATGGGACGAAACCCAGCAGATAAACAAGCTGGCAACGTGAGCGCGCTCCCGCCCACGCGCACCCTGGGCCTCCCGCGCATGCGCGCCCCAGGCCTGCACCCGCACGTGTACCCCACTCCCACGCCCGCCGTCCCCCTGCGCATGCGCATCCCCGCCCCCCATTCCTCCCCTACGCATGCGCACCGTCCACTTTCTCGCTGCAGCTCCGCTTCCCCAGGCATGGCTCTGTGCTCCGTGTGCCCAAGACAAAGGCTTACACATTAATGGCTTTCCAACGGATGGTAAGTTCTAAAATGTTTCCAGCCTTAACAGGGTTTCTGGGGCCCACAGCACAGGAGGGAACCGCACCCCTCAGGCTGTGCGCTGAGCCAGACCCACTCCTTCCTCAGTAACTGCAAAGGTGTATCGACGCCATAGGACCCCTGAAGCAAACAGATCCTATTTGCAAACCTAAAGGCCGTGAAGACCCCAACCCCACCAGCAGGAAGGAGAGGAGTGTACTGTGTCAATCATTTAGGTTTGTCCTCTCAGGCGCTGCATGATTTGCAGGCCGCCTTAAATGTCTCCCTAGGCCCGGGTGAAAATAAATCACCTTGAAGGAAAAGTACAGCCTGGCCAGATGAGACAAAACTCATCCTCTTCTTCACCCTGCTGGTTTGAAAGATGGAGGGGGGCACGCAGGACGCGATGTGCGGCCGCGGCTGCTGCCAGGGTGGGCACCCCACGTCTGCTTACCTCAGCTTGGAAAGACGGAGCCGGACGTGCGGGCTGTCCAGAATGTCCCCCTTCTCGGAGGAGGCAGAGGCAGACAGACCAGACACCTCCCTGCTCAGCAGGTACCTTCGCTCCCAATCAGCAGAGCCGTCTTCCCAAGACTCTTCGGCAGTGATGAACTCTGGATGGTAAACAGGTATGCACCGTGACCTGGAAAGCAAGAGAGGTGTGGTTATTTCTCCTGAAATAGTAATGGCTGCAAAGCAAGCTTTCCTCTGAGTCCTGACTGTGTGAAATGGCGCAGAATCAACCCTGGTCTTTCAAAGGACCACAGACAGTGGCCCACTCACATACTGGTGGGAATGGTTTTTTTTGTGACCTCACAGAACACTTAGGTCAAAGGAAATTTCCTGGAGTCACTAAAGTCTTCAAAATGAATTGTGGGCCTTCAAGAAACCAGCTTTTTCTGAGTTTGGGACTTTCCAAGAAAGCTGTTTCTGGCTCAGACCAGTTCCCGCTGATTTCAGCGTTTGCTTTTTCACTGCACGCGCTCCAGTAGTCAATACCTAGATGTGTGAGATTTGCCCAGGGTGAGGGGTGTCAGTTTTTCCTCCTCTGTGTAGATCTCCTTCTGCAGTGGAGCTGTAGGGAAAGTGGCCTACCTGGCTTCCCACACAACATCCACAGAAGCACGAGCAGGAAGAGGGAACATTAGTATCTAACTAGACAGGCCAAGAATGGGGCCTATATCTAGATGACTCAACGGGAATCATAAACTTTTCTCAAAATTACTTGAAAACACATCCATTTACTTTTGGAATTTTTGTTGTTGTTGTTGTGTTTTGTTTTTCTTGATACAGAGTCTTGCTCTGTCACCCAGGATGGAGTGCAGTGATGCAATTTCAGCTCACTGCAACCTCTGCCTCCCAAGTTCAAGCGATTCTCCTGCCTCAGCCTCCCCAGTAGCTAGGATTATAGGCACACGCCACCACACCTGGCTAATTTTTGTATTTTTAGTAGAGATAGGGTTTCATCATGTTGGCCAGGCTAGTCTCAAACTCCTGACCTCAAGTGATCTGACTGCCTTGGCCTCCCAAAGTGCTGGGATGTATAGTCATGAGCCACTGTACAGAGCCTCCATTTACTTTTGGTTGAATCCCTGACCTTCTGATCAATTCCTTCAGTTTAGATGCACTTGACTCTTAAAAGGTTGTACCAAAAGCCAGAATTTTCATGTATCACATAGAATATTCTTGGGATCACAATACTGACGTTAACAGATGTGATCTGTGATAGACTGGAATGGAGCCAGCTCAATGGGGCATTGTGATACTCCTGAACACTTACGACTGCTTTAGAAGTGGTTCACAAGGAAAAATATTCAGGAGAAGCAGCCCAGAGACGCCAATTAGGCTGTGTATAACCAATGTGTAACAAGATAACACGACTTTGAAAATAGTCGATAATCCGATCAATTTTGTGATTGGAAAATGCTCAGGTGTGTGAGAAATAACATCACACCAACTGCTGAAAAAAACACAACTGTAACAATTGGAACAAAAAAAAACATTTTCTTCTAAGAAGAAAGAGGAAAGCAAGTTAATGTCATTGCCTTCTAGAGCAGTGCTGTGCAACAGAACTTTCTGTGGTGATAGAAATGTTCACTTCCCAGTCCAGTATGGCAGCCACATGTGCTGTTGGTCACTTGAAGTGTGGCTAGTACAACTGAAGAAGTGAATGTTTAATGTTAATTAATTTAAATTTAAATAACCATCTGCAAAGAGTGGCTACCAGTTGTCAGTGCAGATACAGGGCATGCTCTGACCTTTGTACCACACATTCCTGCTCTCAACACCCTTAAAAGAATACTTCTGAAAATACGTAAATCAATGGATATTATCCTAATAAGCCATTTGATCAGATTAAAACTGCAACAAAATAAAGTTGATCAAAGTAAAGTATGAAAAAGACATTCCTACCACCAATACCTTAATTAGCAAAAAGAGAAAAGGAATACATTTTGTAAGCAAAGCTGACCCATGTTCTACTCCCTTGAAATGGTTTTTGTGACATGAGGCCCAGCTCAGCCTCCCAGGGCGTGTCTGTGCTCCGCATGCCAGGAAAAATGCTTACGCATTAATGGTTTTCCAATGAACTGCAAATTCTAAAATGTCACAAGCCTTCACAATTTACCAAGTAATTCAACAGAAAGCATTGAGGGAATAGGTGTGTGAAGTCTTTGTCTTAAGTTATTAATTAGGAGCAATGGAACATAATTAAGTTATCCCCCAGTACAGAAGCTTGAAGCAGCTGGGTCAGTGGAAGTGCCTCAGCTTACACTCCTTACCCATCCAGTCACTGAGGGGCTGGTGGCAGGGACTGTGCTAGGTGCCAGGATGCATGATGAAGAGGGCACAGGCTGGCTGACATAACCACAGATAGCACACAGGCCAGTCTGGAAGTAAGGGCATGAATGCGGTGTTTGAGAGCACAGGAGACGCCCTGACTCTTGGTGGGTGCGGCAGAAACCACCAAGGGTTCTCAAAGGAAGTGACATCTGAATGCCCTTGACAGGAGTAGGACTGACTGCCCTGGAGAGACAGAGAGGGAAGGAGTTTCCTCTAGTCAAGGGCTTCCTGTGAACAAATCATCCCTGCACTGAGAAGTAATAAATCCAGATCCTGCATCCCATCCAAATCCTGTGAGCAGGAGTATTTGGAGGCTGAGGACAGGAATGCACATGGCGTGCAAGCCCCACCTAAAGTGTGAAGCCCGGCCCCCTGCCCTGGCTGCAGACTGGGCTGGGGAGAGAGGAGGCAGCTCCTTGGAAGCTCAGAAGTGAGTGAAGGAGACACAACAGCCTGCCTGTCAATGCAGGTAGACACCAGCAGTGGGCAGGGAAAGGAGAATCCCTGATGTGCAAATAGGTGATTCACAATCAAAGCTCTTGAAACTTTTAATTATTTTGAGTCTTAAAAGAATGTGATTATGGGATGAGTCACATAAGAGGCAGCTGTGGCCTTCTTTTCTCTGATTCTAGGTTTGCCTTTTTCCTTACCTACATTGTTTTGTAAAGTCTTGTAAAAGACGAACGGGCATCAGAGAAGACCCCTTCCCTCTTCACTGTTGATCTTCATTGATAGATTAACTTCCTTCTTTCTTCTCTCACACAAAGACCTCATGACTATCCCATTGTCTAACATGGAACGTCAAATATACTCTTTGAAATTGGAGGGGAAGCAAAGCTGTAACTAATCAAATTACTGTAACTCATAAACCAGCCATGTATGGGAAACGTAGTCCTTCTCCATTTCTTTGTTTTCTGCCTATATGGATAAGAATAAGACCTTAACTTTTCAGTTTTGGAGCACTGATCCCATTCTTTTGGATCCTATGTTTCCCAAATGGCTATCCTCAGCTTTGTGCTTGAATAAATAATTTTAAACTGGGTTCTGATAGTTTTTATTATTTCAGATTGACAGTGACAATGTCACCAAGTTTGTGACGTGCAAGGAGCCAGGAAACATGGAGCAGGTGGCTCAGGCTTCTGGCAGTTTGTTTGCACAAAGAAAAGAAGATGCAGGCCTGGCCCAAGGCCCTTCATCCCAGAAGGAAGCATCTGTAACTTACCCTCCAGGTCAGCTCTGCTCAGGCAATTCCAGAACCACCCTGATTTGTGTCCAAAAAGGACCTGTAAGTTTGCAGGAAATTAGGTTTTCTTGTGAAACACATATACAGGATTTCTCAACTTCGTCACTACTGACATTTGTGCTGGATAGTTCTTTGTGGTGGGGGCTGTCCTGTGCATTGCAGAATGTTTGGCAGCATCCCTGGCCTCTACCCTTAAATGCCAGAAGCATCTCAGCCCTCAGTGTGACAACCAAAAATGTCTCCAGACAATGCCAACCTCACCCCTAGCTGAGAAACCCCAGCCTGGTAAAACAATGCGTCAGAGCTTTGTGCACGCATGAGTGTGTGTGTGTGCTGTGCCATTGCTGCAGGGTTATGCTCAAGGCCATCTGGAAATTAATAGCCACAGAATATAACCACCCGAATCATGAACATCTACTACAATAAATTGTCAAGGATCTGGCAGAGGTTAAACATGTCCAGTAAAAATTCATATCTCAAGAACTTCTCCAGCATACGTGCCAAGTGCAATGCTGGGAAACTCTTACTTTCATATGACGGGGGAAATATCTCACCCTTTCTCTTGTAAGGAATTCCTCAGCAAAGGAGTGTTTTCTGTAAAGCAGGAATCTTTAGACCTGGAGCTGGACATCTGGGGCAAAGGAGAGTGAGACCTGAAAGAGACAAGGAAGGAAACAGAATCACCAACACAGAAATAACGAATGTGTTCCCAGCACTTGGGCGCTAGATTCAAGAATGTGCCCAAGATTCAGTGATAAATCTTACAAGGAAATTTGCCTAAGGGTCTGTCTGAATTGTAAAAGGCTGAAGTTTTAGAAGACACCATAAGAAATACCTCTCCTCCCCAACTCAATTGAAAACGCACAGCAGACACTCGCACAGGAGACCAAATACTACGGGATGACACTTCTAGGCTCGCTTTTGCATTAGCAGGAGATTCAGGCCACCTTTGCTATTTCATGCAAAGCTGCTCCTCAAGAAAAACATTCAGAGGGCGGGACACAGTGGCTCCCGCCTGTAATCCCAGCACTTTGTGAAACTGAGGTGGGTGAATCACAAGGTCAGGAGTTCAAGACCAGCCTGGCCAATGTGGTGAAACCCCGCCTCTACTAAAAATACAAAAAAAAAAAAAATTAGCCAGGTGTAGTGGTGGGCACCTGTAATACCAGCTACTCTGGAGGCGGAGGCAGAGAATTGCTTGAACCCGGGAGGCGGAGGCTGCAGTGAGCCGAGATCACACCACTGCACTCCAGCCTGGGCGACAGAGCGAGACTCCTTGTCAAAAAAAAAAAAAAAAAAAGATTCAGAGCCTCGTTGGCCCTTTTGTAGGCAGAAAATTCTATTTGCTAAAATAACAAGGAATTCACTTTTAAAATATACTAATGGCTGCCATTGGAAGACCAATCAGCAGAAGTCAGGACCAAGGGGTTGGAATGAGACAACAACCAGAATGGCAAGGAGGAAGCTCTCCAAGGACAGCAGCCACAACTGAAGCAAAGCAAAGGTTCGCACTGGGCAGGGTGGTCCTCCACCACACTGGCCTGCCTGCCATATGGAAGGACCACCATAAATGTATCATTCAAATCAGGAGCTTGTTGAACGGGAAGTAACTGCACAGCCACAACTAAGTCCACCGGCATGTATGGTCACCTCATTAAAGGACACTTGATGTTAAAAGACAACCAGCTTTCCATGAGAAGCTGCAGGAACAATTTTCGTTCCTGATCACTGAGAATATGTCATTTTATATGCTGATGCATTGCCTTTCTTACAGGATCCCAGGCCAGGTAGAGATGCTGTAGATGCTATGAAACATTTGCCCGGGCAAATAACAGTAATTCTTTCCGATGACAAATGCACAATGGAAGAAATTTTAAGAAAAATATTTTTGCTTGCTTCTTTCTCATTCAAGCATTCACCTGTGAGATAGACAATAAGACTCCTGTGAATGAGTAAAACATGGGCCCCTGAGTTGTGTCTAACACCAGCACCATGTCTCTGGGCAGTCAGAAAAGGAGTCTGTCTGGGGCCAGTGAGTATCCGCTGGGCATCACCTCTGGGCAGCACTGGGCCACTTCCCATGGAGAACACAGGTGACTGAAGACTCACCTCAGAGGCTTAATGGCCAGTAGAGGTCAGCGTGGCAGGAGAGAGAATTATAAAGTAGGTGCTTTAACTTTGACAAATGAAGGTAGAGAGATTTGGAAGAATCTCTCTGCCCAAGAGATTTAATAATTAGCATACTTTTAGCTGCTCAAACTGGCTTACAGTTGAGATCCTCCCAACCCTGTTTCCCATAACTATAAATCTGTAACTGTAACCCCCTAGGTACATTTAGAAAATGTCATAGTGAGTGGACCAAACAACCAGATGTTTTCTGATACTCCCTGGGGTGGTCTAGGAGAGCTGAGTGTTACGGAGACGGTGACCTTCCTCATATTATTTAACAACCCTGAGCTTCCATTTTCTCAGTCATGCAATGTAGATGAAAAGAAAACAAGACCAAGCATGGTGGTTCAAACCTGTAATCCCAGCAAGGTGAGAGGATCGATTGAGGCCATGAGTTCAAGACCAGCCTGGGCAACATAGCAAGACCCTATCTCTATGGAAAGTAAAAATAATAAAAAATTATCTGGGCGTAGTGGTGCACACTTGTAGTCCTAGCTACTTGGAAGACTGAGGCGGGAGAATCACTTGAGCCCAGGAGTTCAACAGTGCAGTGAGCTATGATGGAGCCACCGCACTCCAGCCTGGAGGAGACCCTCTCACTTTCAAAAAGAAACAAAAACCCTTGGTTTTCTTATATTAACTAAGGAGATGTAAATGGAAAACATAAAGATAGATTGTGGATATTGGTTCACTGAGGTTCATTAGACTGTGAGCTCTTTAAGAATGACTGCCATGTTTTCATCTTGTTTTATTTGGTACTGTAAGTGGCACCCAGGTCAAAGTAAGTTCTTAATAAATACTCAATAATGAGCTGGGCACAGTGGCTCACACATGTAATCTCAGCACTTTGGGAGGTCAAGGTGGGTGGATTGCCTGAGCCTAGGAGTTCACGACAAGCCTGAGCAACATGGCAAAACCCTGTCTTTAAAAAAATTCAAAAATTAGCCAGGTGTGGTGGTGCACGCCTGTAGTCCCAGCTACTGGGAAGGCTGGTGAAGGGTTGATTGCTTGAGCCTGAGAGGTCAAACCTGCAATGAGCTGAGATTGTGCTACTGCACTCCAGCCTAGGCAATAGACCAAGATCCTGTCACAAAAACACATACGTACTTAATAATGAATGGGTTAAAACCTAGCAATAATAGCTTATTTGCATGAGATTGACTTTTTAACTCAAAACAAGTCTCCTAAATCATTAAATCAATAATGTTTATAGACTCAATATTGACCCTCTGAAGAGAGGACAGTGCTCAGGAGGGTGGAGGCACTATTGTTCCTTGGAAAGCGTGACCCATTGGGGTCTCAAAAGAGCCCACAGCAGCACCACATCACGCAGTGAAGCATGACCCACGGGGTCTCAAAAGAGCCCACAGCAGCAGCACGTCACGCAGTGTGGAGGATTTACCTTCTTGCCACTAAGAAGGAAAATTAGAAATGGGGAAAAATCCGAAGTCCATTTTATCTTCTCTGTGGTGGCCATATCTGGCTGATTTTTGTTACTGTTTAACATTTACATTTATGCACTTCGTGTACACAGAGTATTTTATCATTGTAGTTAAGCATATAGGTAATCGTTTCTGAGCTTTTTTATGTAATTATATTTCTAAAAATCCAAAAGTAAAATGAGTTTTACCAGGAAATTTCCTAAAGAGACTTTGGGCCATTCCAATTTAAACTTACCACCATCCAGATACCATTTTCAATGTTCCAAATCCATTCCTCTCTGCAAATAGGGGAAGCACCACGGAGGCCCTGGGGCCCTGTTGCTTGATAGAATCCCTGGCCTGTGACCCAGAGAGCTCACAGATCACATGTAGAGAAGATTCAGGATTGCCCAAAAACATTTTTCAGAGGCTGAAAATAAAAATGGCAGTCCACAAAGCTGAAAGCCCAATTTTTTCTCCTTTTGACTTCAATAAGGCAGAAAATATTGATGCGATCTATATTATTCCTGACTTTTCCTCTTCCGAAAAGATAAATCGCATTGACGTTTTTCTGACTTCACTCTAAGACTGGGCACTGTCTAGTTTTACTAATTTCCGCGTTGTCTGATTTCCCCCATGTCTCAACAAACTCTGTATATACATTTACAAAATCCATATGTGTCTATACATTTATACTTATTTTAAAGGAAATTACAGAAGATAACACATAAAACAACTGCACTTGTACATAATTCTATAATTCAGAGATATCCAATGTTAACATTTAGAGAATTTCCTTTCAATGTTTTTTTCCTACAAAAAATGAATATTTTTAGGTCAGATTCATACATATGAGTGCAGAGACACACATTCACACATATACATATTCACATATGCAAATTGCTTTGTCCTCTAATCATTCAGCTCAGCTATCTCATTAGCATTTCACAGCTTATCAAATATTAGCTATTCTTCTACAACGTGATTTTAATATCAGCCATCATATTCCATTACTTGGATCATCAAATTAAGCCTGACCATCTGTCTGTTGACGGAAATTTAGGGGATTTCTGGTTTTTTACCTGGATAAATAACACACACTGTGTGAGTCCTGGTAGATAAGTCTTTGTGTGTGCCTTTAATTATTTCCTGAGGATAGATTCCTAGAAGTGAGGTCACTGGATCAAGACGTTTCTTGGTGCCCGTGGTCCTCTCGCTGGAAGAGAGCCCATCCCCATTACTCCACGTTTCAGTTACAGGCAGGAACAAATCCCGATCTCCACCAGTCCTGGGTATTAGCCATGTTTAAAATCCTTGAACAGTAAGTTTTAAGCAGCCAGAATTGATGCGTCTGAGGCAGATCCACCATTGCCAAGAACCCTTGCTACCGTGATTATTAATAAGACAGGTTCGTGCCAGACTGTGCGATGGAAACAGTTTCTTGCGCACGCCTCTGCCTCTTCTTCAACAGTCTCCTCATCCCTAGACTCCTTAGTTCTTTCTAAATCAAAACACTTAACAGTCCTATGATGTTAGTCCTATCATCATAATGACAAAAAAAAGAGCTAAAAATGTTGAAAATATTGAATACCTAATGTATGAACACTTTCAAGAGAATTTACATTTTTAAAGGCCAAAAAAAAGACAATGGTTAGTGCAAACGACAGTCCGGGGAGTTGGTGATTGGGGTACCAGGGGTGGAGGAAGAGGTTTGCCCTCAGTCTTTTTTAGGCCCCGTGCCACATAGGCACCATTTATGCAGCCACTGCTGAAGTCAGTTCTGCTTGACAAGATGATGCAGAGCCAATAACAAGGAATGCAAAATGCTTTCACTGCCTTAACCTGTGCATGACCAAATTCACATCCACAGACTCTCCAAGGGATGCTCTGCTCAAGTCATAGGCAGGCTCTTTCCCAGGCACCAGTCAGGAAGACCACAGAGCAGGCAGCGAAGTCGAGAGCCAAGGGCTCAGGAGAGAGGGCAGGTGGCAGATGGCAGATGGCATCAGCCATGCAGGGCCCTGTAGAAGAGCTGCTGGGAGTGGGACCAGCCTGGGAGTGGG